TAAAAAAAAAAAAAATCAAAGTCACAACTTGCATCCTCTCCCCTCGCTAGCCTCCAGAGATGTTAATAACCAAACACAAGGCAATATGGATTCATTTCAAGGCTGTTACTGCCCTTTACAGTAAAAGAAGCCAGGGGGTGGGCAAAGCTTGGGGGGGGGGGAAGCTCAAAGAGATACATGAACGTTCTGTTACTGGAGAGCTGTCAACAACAAACTTGTGTCCGAGACAGCGTTGGAGGGGGCGTAGATATTAAAGGAGACAGGAGAATAAAGGTGCTAAGCCAAAAGGAGAAGCCAACCGAGAAATGGGCAAGATTACAAATAAAGTTATTTGCCTTCTGTGCCCAGAAGGGTGAAATCCAGGTGAAGCACACCAGCAACAGGCAGCACCCTAGAGGCCAAATACGCTAGTGTGGAGAACGACACAGGCAAAGAAGGGCTGAAAGGAAGAGCCTGCCACTCAGTCAAATGCTCTGCACACACCAGACCTTCCTGCCATGTGGCTCAGCCTTCTAGGCCTTGGGGCTCCCCACCTCAGACTGAAGTCCCAACCGGAGGCAAGCATTTGGGAGTTCTCCTGTCCGCTGACCCTCAGTCCTGGAGCGCCCCAGCACCCCCACCTCTCCAAGCCCTGCGGCCTGGCTCAGTCCCTCCCTGTCCAGGCTGTCCTGGACGGCGTTCCTGCCATCCCGCGTCCGGTCTGTGTGCCCCGGCTGGGTGGAGGTCCTCTGAGAGCACGGGCTGTGGCCTTTCACCAACACCTCTCTGGAGCTGAGTGCAGTGCCTGGTATAGAGCAGGCACGGAGAGTGTGCGCTGAAGGAATATTTTTACATTTAAAGAACAATTAGTCTCTCCCTGACCCCGCCGCCACAGGCTTGTGTTTCGGTAACAGATGTCCACTACATCATTCCACATACTCTTTTCCTGAACCTCATGACTCCAATCACAAGTGAGCTACATTTGATATTTTTGACTTGCAAATACTATAACCCTAAGACCTAAGCTAGCACCTAATGCATACTGAGTTTCTTAAAAGAAACTGGTTGCTGTTGCAATGATTACAGCAGTCATTGTACGAACATTTTGACAACAGAATCAAAGAATTCTTATCACCAGTGCGATAAAAATATAAGAGTCTTCCTTATCTAGCTTATATTGGTCTGCACAGCGTAGCCCATGTATTCAAACTGTCTTTATAAAGCCACATTCCCCCAGCACGCTGAAGCATGAAAGTCAAATCAGTGATACAGTCTAGCAAGTGGATCCTTTTAATTTGCTGACTATATTAAAAAGATAACAATTACTTTGGCAAATACAAGGATGTATGTAGTAAGTCTATGTGGAGACACAAATACAAAGGTAAGTGGAGATATACACAGTTGAACAACACAGGTTTGAACTGTGCAGGTCCACTTACACGCAATTTTTTTCGATAAATACAGTAGAGTACTGTAAATATATTTTTTCTTCCTCCTGATCTTTGCAATAATGTTTTCTTTTCTCCAGCTTACTCTATTCTAAGAATACAGCATATGATACATATAACACACAAAATATGTGTCAACCGACTTTATGTTATTGGTAAGGCTTCCAGTCAACATAGGCTATTAGTAGTTAAGTATTTGGAGAGTCAAAAGCTACACATGGGTTTTCAACTGTGCAGGGGTCAGTCAGTGCCCCAAACGCCCCACACTGTTCAAGAGTGAACTGGTATATACTTGTATTTGTGTATAGGTATGTAGACTATACATATCTCCAGTTGCCTTTGCATATTTAGCTATGTCGTGTGTGTGGTATGTCTTTTTTTTTAAAAAAATCATGGGGGAAATAAGCATTTTCCCAAACTGTCCCTCAGCATTCCTCTCTCCTTAAAAATCTCATGTTTTTCTCAGTCTGTCGCTTTTTAACTAGGGAAATATGCAATCTCTATTCGTTTGGTTCTTTAGTGTAGCAAACACCCTTGTTTATGCTCAGAACATTTATAGTCTCCTTTAAGAAAACAACGATCTAACAGACTTCTTGCCTGATAGTGATGAGTAATTTATCAGAGATTAAAGTACAATTAACCTGCATTCCAAGTTGCTCTTCATTTTCCTCTGCTACAGTCTAGGACAGCAGGGAATTCCAACTCCTGAAAACAAACGCTTACACTACTTACTATTGATATGAACACCAAGCTCACTACCTCATAAACAAGAACTCCTCACTGTTACCTCTTCTTTGAACTTAAGTCAAAATTATAAAATGATATGGTGGTCTTACGAGATCCCGGGTTGGGTTTACCTGTATTTATGAAACTATTGCTTCTTCTACATGGGAAGAGTCTAGCAGCACACAATGAATGAATGAATGGATGAATGAATGAATAAATGACAAATCAAGAGACCAAGTTGACTTAAGTCATTAGGAGGCAAAGTGGACATTTTTGTAAAATGGAAGAATAATTCAGTTATTACAGGTAAAAACATCACATACACTATTGTGTTATAAAAATAAGCATAATAATAGATAGCTACTTTATTGAGTTGTGAGACATGTGTTAATAGATAATAAACAGTAATGGTAGTTGAGCAACAAGTGATAGTATTAAGTAAATAACATTTGGTTAAAGAACCAGTGAGCCACACTGAAACCACCAAAACAGAAATGGGAAGAAAAATAACTGAGGCCCAAAGTCAGCAAAATGAGTCCTGTCTGAGGTGTCACTCCTTCATACTCTCTCACTAAACTACAGCCCAGGTGACACTACCACTAATCATGTTCCTCCTCCTTCCAGGACTTGAAACAGATTGTCACATGCAGAAACAGTTGCTTCTAGAAATATACAATGTGAAGAAAATAAATCACATTTCTCTTTACACTTATTAAAGGCCTACCAAAAAAATCTTGCTCAAAACAGCAAAAAATTATCTTTTGTCATCACTACTGATACCTAACAAATTTGCTGGTCTGAGTGTTGTAAAGTGAACAGATGCACAGAGCTGGGAAGCCCCTCAGCTCATTCCTTGTTCTGTCCTAGGACCTATGGTAGCTCCCCACAGTCTAGCCAATCACATCATTTCCCAACTACAGCCTACTGTCTTGGGCACACCTGCATCATGGCACTCTATTCCCACCACACCAGGAGCCTCCACTCAGCTTGGGCCTCTGCTTGACCCCTCTTTCTGAGCTTCTGCCCAGACATCCCTCCTTCCTTCTCTCTCTTTCCAGGTCATCGTAATTTACCTCAGCACTTCCACAGAAGCTTTTTGTCCCATTTGACTTTCATGGCCCACTTCAACTGTGAGCTCAAATTTACTGCAAGTGCACTCAATTCCAGTATTTTTAATTGCAAGCATTTGTGCACAAGAAGTGTCTCACAGACGGGACATGATAGGTACTCCGCAAACTTGTTGCTAAGGTATAAGACATATTGGTATATATAAGGTCTAAGGTATACTGATGCTCAGTAAAACTCTTCTTTTATCTACCAATGACAGGGAAATGCTTAACTGAGGTAAATCACCCCACGGATTGAATCCAAAGAATAGTTTTGTATTAATTACCAACTTACTTAAGGCAAGAATGTTTTCTGGTCTTAATTATTTGGACTATTATTTTAATTGTCACTTTTCAATTAAAGACTCCACAATATGCTTCCAAAACACTGAGAGCTGAATCTTCACAAACAAGGCAAACTTAACAAAATATTCTCCAAGGTTAGTTTTCCAACAGCATTCTGAAAGGGATCAGTGACGTAATTACACATATAACTCTCAGGCTTCCAAATTTTGTGTTAGGTAGCTTTCACTAGGAATGCTCTAGATAGTCTGGTTTGAAATATCTACATAATTACCTCAATCCTTCCTTCCCATCCCATTGTAAGAGATATCCAAAGCAGTATTTAGGGGTTAAACTGTTTCCAAATAGCAAGACTGTCACTTTCCAGAAAAAGAATTAAAAAAACAACCACCCACAACAAGAACCACCCCCCCCCAAAAAAAACCAAAAATACCCGTAACACCAAAAGAATGTAAAATGTTTCCGTCTTGAGGGGCGAGGGGGATCTATTTTAAATTTACAACTGCTTTAAAAAAAAAAAAAAGGCTTCAAGAACCCCCAAATGGAGAAATGTTGAATAAAAGACTGGCAGAACCCCTTGGAGAGCTCCTGTGTGGCCCCTCCCTCCAAACCCGAGTTCTTAAAACACATTGGTTCTTTCGGCCTGCAAAACGCAGCCTTGCTCCGAAATCATTCCATTTAAAAAGACCCCACCCTCGAGGAAACATTAATCTACTTTGCAAACATGCGTTCCAGTCTATGCTTTACTGTTTTTTATTTCAACTCCTTTCCTCCCCACCCCCACTTTTTTTTTTTTGTACCTTGAGACAAATGTTTTTTTCCCCCAGAGTTGAAAGCTGTCCAAAAACAGGACCACACACGCCGCTGCCTCCGCAGGCCCGCGCTGCGCCCGCCCCCGCCCTCCCCGGCGCGGCGGCTGCGGCCGCCGGGGGCGCGCACACTCCCTCCAGCCGGAGGGGTGGCCTCTCTATGCCCCCCCCTTCTTTCTCTTTGGACGTGGTGGGTGGGGGTGGGGGAGGGAAGGACGCCGAGGACTAGAGCCAGGAGCCGAGAGGCCTTCCTCCGGCCGCGTTGCGGGCGCGGCGGCAGCGAGCGGCGGCGGCGGCAGGCCCCGGGGGCCCCCGGCCGCGCGGAGTGGTCCGTCCCGCGGAGGGGCCCCGCGCCCCCGCCTGCCCGCCCTCGCCACTCTCTCCCACAACACCTAGCAAAGCGCAGCGCCCCGAGTAGATTACAGCGCGGCCTTTGTCGGGCGGGCCTGGCTCCCGGCCAGGCGCCCAAACAATAAACAATTCCCCCTGGTGCGGGCAGGGGGTTCTCGCTCGCCACAGAAAGGCCCTAGGTGTATGCTGGCAAATATCTTTATCAGTTGGAAGGAGGCAGGGAAAGGGGCCCGGGCTGGGGGACGAGAGGGCGCCGCGGCGGGCGCTGGGTCTCTTACCTTCCACCCACAGCTCCTCCACATTGGTCTCGAGATTAGCTGCCTTTAATCCCACAGCGAAGGCCCCAAATATGAGGAGGCCCACAACCAAGAACTTGCCGCAGTTTTTTTGAATGTAACAACCCAGTTTAAATAAGAGTCTCTGAAACTTCGCTCTCAGCCACAGCGGCGCTTTCCGGCCAGTAGCTTTCCCCTGAGGATGAAGCAGAAGGGAGGAGTGAGCGCCGGGGAGTCGTGGCCCGCGCGCCCACGCCCGCTTGCGCGCACCCGCCCGCGGATCCCGCGACAGCCGTGGGGAGGGGGATACCCTTGGGCCTGGATCCCAGGCAGGCCCCGGGTAATGCGAGCGGCGTGGGCCTGGACATAAATCAACGTCGGGATGCAGCGTGGAAGCTGCACCTTGGCGACAGCAGGGGCGCCCCCACGCACGACCCGCGCAGCATCCCCGAAGGTGTCTTGGGGTCGCTGGGGAGAAGGGCTGCAAGAACAGAGGGAAGGGGAAGCCGAGGCAAAGAGGAGAGAAATCGCTCAACACAGGCAATATTCACACCGGAGCTGGGAAGGGAGGGGCTGCGCAATCTCTGCGTTGGAGCCCACCATTTAAGAGCCAGCAAACCGTGGGTCGATTCCCCGCAAGTCAAGCGCCATCCTTTACCCCTCTCCGGATGCCCCGGCAAGGATGGGGGCAGGGGAACGAACGCGCTCTGGGAACAATGTATTGCAGGCTCCCCGATCCTGACCCCCGCCCGGCGTGGTAGTAAGTGGGGATCCACGTGGTGAGCGCGGCCGCCGGAGCTCACTCGCGACGCATTTCCAAAGCGTTGGGAGACGCTGTGTGAGCTGAATTAGGAAGTGGGGCAGCCATCTGCAACTTACAATATTTGTGATCGGAAGAGGGCAGCCACATGGATCTTTCCCTCCTCTCCCTTCCCATCTGGTTAAACGTAAAAAGTAGCCAAGTGCACAGGGGAAGGGCCCAGGCCGGCGCAGGCGGGGGTCCTGGCTGCGCTGTGGCTGCTCCCGGCGGCGGCGTTTCCCCGGCGCTGGCCGCTGCCCCGGCGGGCCCCCGTCTGGGTGCTCGCCTTCCCCGGATTCCACACATTTCAGCGAGCCTCGTAAACACAATGAACCCGGCCGCTTGGCAGACCAGTACCGCGGATTTAAGGTGGCAATTTGTTTACAACTTTCCCTTTCCCCCCAGGCTCTAAGAAGAAGTGGCTCAAAAACTAAAAAGGAAGAGGGGAGATGCCTTCTTCCAAGGATAATTTTTAAGGGGGCAGAGATTTCATGCTCCACAAAAGCAAAACCGGCTGCCAAAAAAGGAAACCACCTTTATTTCGGCTCCCTCCCCCCCTTCCTCTCTCCGCCTCCCTCCACTCCGCCTCCCCCTCCAAGATGTTAAGAAATGTGGCAGCATTACAGGGGTTTAGGTTGCAAATAGGGGCAGGGGCGCAGGAGCAGGGGTCTCCGGGGCGGGGGGCACTGGGCATTGCCGCGCTGCAGCCGCCCTCGAGGTGGTCCACTGTGGACCAATTTCCAGTGCTCCGGAAAAGGCATGCCGGGGAGGGCGCGTGCACACACACACACACACACACACACACACACACACACACACCCTCCACCCCCTGCGGACCTCAGACAGCCCTTTCCTCCTAGGACCGGAGGGAGGGTTTGAATTTTTCAATCCCCACTTGTCTGCTTCTTTTCCTGGAGAGGTGTGTGTGAGTGCTTGTTTGCGTGCGTGTGTGTGTGTGTGTGTGTGTGTGTGTGTGTGTGTGTGTGTGGCGGGGGCGATCCCAAAGAGGAAGAGGAGGGAAGAGTGGGAGGAGAGGAGAGAGTCTGAAATGCACCTTGGAAATCTGCTCCAGAGCGAAGGCGGCGTCGCAGTAGCTGGGCCGGTGCAGATAGTCCCGGTCCAGCGCGGCGCTGCGGCGCAGCCCCCCGGTCCGTCTGCGCCTCCCGCCGCCGGCCGGCCGGCCCGGGGCCCCGCTGCAGCTGCCGCCGCCGCCGCCGCGGTCCTGGGGCTCGGCGGCGTTACCAGCCGAGGCCATGTTGTTGCCGCCGCCGCCGCCGCCGCCGCCGCCGCCGCCGCCGCCGCGGGAACCGAGGCTTCCCGGGCGGCCCGGCGCGCTGCTGCCGCCGCTGCGGGCTCCCGGCGCGCCCGGGCGCTCGGCTGGCGAGGACGCTGCTGGCCGCCGGCTGCTCGGGCTGGGGCTCCGGTTGACAGACCTGCTGCTGTCGCTGCTGATGCCGCTGCTGCTGCTGCTCACACGGCGGGCGCTGCTGCCGCTGCGGCCGCAGCCGCTGCCGGGGAGTCAGACCCTGCGCCTTCCATTGCCACATTGCGCGGGGGTCCCGAGGTCTCTGCGGCCGCCGCTGCCCACATCCAGTTCTCGGGAGGGCGAGAGCCGGCGCGCGGAGCCAGCCTGTCCTTCGGGCGCTCGCACGGCGCTCCTCGAGATCCCCAACTCCCCCTACCCGCCCCCCGCCCCGCGCCGCGACCCCTTCACTGCAGAAAGCGCCAGCAAATCCCCGCCGCTCCCGTCGGCCTCGCCGGCTCCCTCGGCGCCTCCCGGGTCGCTCGAGCGGCCGCGGAGGGTAAGCGCAGAGCCACCGCCGCGGGGTCCGTGCGTGCCCAGTGGGTCTCAGCGCTGCCGGGCCGGGGCAGCCGCCGCCGCCGCCGCTGCTCTCGCGGCGGCTGCTGCTGGCGGTGGCGGCTCCTGAAGCTGCTGCTCGGGCTGCTCGGGCTCTGGCTGCTGGGTTCGCGGTGGCTGTTCGGTCCCGGACTCTGCTTTCTTGTGCTCCTCGCCGACCCGCTGGACCATTCTGCCCCAGTGCAGCGCGCCTCACTCGCTCCCGGGACCTGGGGACTCCGCTCTGTGTGTGTGCAGCGGGCAGCGGCCGCAGCAGCTCCTTGATTCAATAGATGAGATGGAAGAAGAAAAAAAAGAACTCTCTCCATTTGGAGAAAGAGGAGGAGGAGGGGAGGGGGTGGAGGGGGAGAGACCGAGCGAAAGAGAAAAAGGCTGGAGCTCCCGCCCCCGGGGCTGTCAGATGGCTTGGGTTTCTGCGACGCGATTGGCTCGCGGAGGGCAGAAATTACTCAGCAAACATGACTATTATTAGCTGCTTAGCAACAGCTCACCAAAGTAGAGAGACCACCCAGGTAGGCAACCCCAGTGTGTGCATCCCCGGCTTCGGGGGGAGCCTCCGAGAGCGCCAACCTTCTCGCATGCAATACTTCCATTAAGGAATGCTCCCCCCTCCCTTTTCTTTCTTATTCCTTTTCTTTTCAACAGTGTCTTCTTTTTGTAAGACGCCTTTTTCGCGCGCGCGCACACACACACACACACACACACACAGACACACACATACACCCACGAGCATTTGCCTCGCGATAGACACGGGGGGAAATGTAATATTTTTGTAAGCGCTTAAACAATTTCTGAAATTCCTCAAAGAGAAAACCCTTTCAGAGGCACCTTGGCCTCAAGCTGCAGCAAATACTGGGAGGTCCGGCTTGAATTCCCAGGCCTGCACCAATAATGACAGGGTGGTGGATAGTGCGCCAGTGTGTGCCAGATTTTTTTTTTCTCCTCTCTTTTCTTTTCTAACTAAAGAGAAGACTTAGGCTCTCGCAGGGAACAACGCCTCGCATTAAGATAAACAAAATGGAAAGTTAAAGAGGAAAGTAAGGACGTTGGGAAAAGCCACCCTTTCTTAAAATCCTCCCCCCACCCCACCCCAAAACCCACGGCAGCACAGTCCCGGTTTGAAGGAGTCAGTGTTTTAAAAACGTGGAATCCAGACACCGAAGCAATCTTGTGGAGGCAGAGGCGTTTTTATTTGAATCTTTAATATGACATATGTAAAAAAGAAACAACAGAATCCTTTTAACAACCAGGAGCAACGGAATTGTTTTCACTGAGAAAGAGAAAAAAAGTTTTCTTGACTATTTGGGGTTCATTTGGACTCCCCCCTTTTATCACCCACAAGTCGTTGTTTAAATCATTTAAAGTCCGTTTTAAACGTTTTATTTTTTTTTCAAAAACTGGTACGCATCCTGTTATATTTAATAATAGCGTGACGTTGGGGAGAATAAAGGCTTTGATGTTGGATTCATTCGAAACAAATTGTGCGCTGATTGCGAGGACTTGTCAGTACACTGCGGCCAGTGTCACCGAGACAACCCGGGGATTCGCTTCCCCTTGGGGAAGAAAACACGCGACCCTCTGAAGTGGATCCTGGGGCCAGAGACATCTTAAACTACCTACATAGTTCCAATTTTTACTTAAAAATATAATTTTTTAAGAGCGTAGTTTGTTTTTCTTGTTTGCAAGTTACTAAATCCTCCCTGAGATAGGGACCAGACCCACAAACTCTTCGATTCTGCTTCATTTTATTATTTTTCCCTTTCTTTTTTGAAAACGTGGTTGAACTGCAGAGGGGGACGCGCGGCAGCTAGAAGCCAACTGCAGCCGTGAAATGGGGCAGTGTGGCTTTAAGATGCACACGGTGTGTGTTCATTGAAAAAAAAGAAGAAAGAAAGGAAAGGAAAGAAAGAAACCCAGATGGAGGGAAAGGGGGAGGAGCGGGGAGAAGGCGGAGCCCACGCGACCACGTGACCCAGGGCCGGGCTCGGGCGGCGCGCGCTGGGCGGCCGGGAGGCCTGCACGCGCGCGCGTGCGTCCGCCTGCGCGCGCACCCGAGCTCCGGGACTCCCCGAGCGGCCCAGGCGGAGCAGGTAGGGAAGTCGGTGCGCTTGGCTCGCGCCGGGCGGACTCCACGTCTCCAGCTCGGCCTCCCGGGAGCCCAGAGGAGGCTCGCGCCCCGCCGGCGCGGACAGACGTGCCGGACGCGCCGTAGTACATTCCTGAAGGCGGTCCGGCCCCCTTACGTTGCCCAATGTCCGCGCGGCCTCCCGCAGCCGGCCAATGGCCGAGCGCACGGGTCTCTTCCCATTCAGCGGCTGGGTGTCCGCGGCCCCGGCCCGAAGGGGACTGCGGCGGGGCGCGCAGGCCACCGGGGCAGCCCACGCGGCTCCCGCGGGGGTTTTGTCGCCAGCCCTCCCCGCCCTCCTCCTGATCCTCTTTGGCGGTTTCCCCCTCCCTCCTTTCCATCTCCCCTTTCCTTTCTTCTTCCTCTTTCACCCCTTTCTCCTCTCTATCCAGCATCACCACCTTCCATGTAGCTTTTTCTCCTTCCTGGTTTCGGTGGGAGGCCCTGTCTCCTGAATTCCAAACCGGCGGAACGTATGCGGTACCCCGGGCGGGGTAGGGTGTCCCGCAGAATAGAGACAAAGACAGCAGAAGTGTCTGAGGGTGTTTACGAGATCAAGAGGAGGACCGGAGTACCCGGCCAGCGCGGAAATTAAAAACTCAAAACTCCGAAGGAGCACGTGATTTTGTGCGCCGCTCTGGGAGGGCTGCTAAAATCCAGAAGGGAAGGCAAGCACCGTGCGATTAAAATGACACATTAATAAATAATATCGCAGGAGGAATGGGCTCGACACATAGCAAGTTTAATCTTGAAGCGAAACTGATTTTTATTTGATAAAGAACATAAAGTAGGAAAGGAGATTTATTCCAACTTTCCTTACTGAGTGGTTCTGCAGACGTTTCAAGTCAAACTATTAAGTGCTTGCCGCTGGAAATTATTTTTTAGAGTTGGGGGTTGTACCCCCTAGTTTTACATGTCAGTCTGTTTATATTTGAATCGTGCTGTATAGCAAGGTAATCATGTAGTATAGGTTGCTTCGTTTGTCTCTTCAAATTCCTTTACAGCGTTTTAGACCAAAACATTAGTTGTGCCTCCCAGTCTTTTATTTACAGCAATTTAAGTTTAGCTGCTTGGATTATGGAATTCTAAAATGAAATTATGGGCTGTGTACCCATCATGGTTCCTTATTACTCTCTGCACGCAGCTGCATATCCTCTCGTGCTGACTGCTGTTACATGTGCACCATTTCAATGGCAAAGCCTCTTCCACTCAGGCTCATTTCCCTCAGTTGGACTTAATTCCTAAACGTTTTGAACATTGATCTCCCGGGTTCTCAGCGCCCTCAGCCTCCTCACCCGCTGTTTGATAGGTTAACTTTTCAGCATCTCAGACAATAGTCCCCGCCTGTAAATTCTACCCATTGGTTCCAGGACGCAATCTCCAGCCTGGGCTCTAACAAGCGCTATCTTAATCTCCCCACCCCCACCCGCCGCTTCCCCTGTGGTCTGCTTTTTTCCTACACAGAGATGAATTACTTTGAGGATCTAATTGGCCTTGTTTCTGTAACGTTTTAAGAAAGGGAAGAGGAGCCAGTGTAAAAGCCTGCTCGACTTGGGTGGTCAGGGCTGAGGCTGCCCCCAATTTGCCTCATTGCTGATGCATGCGAGTGCGACATTCCCAGCGATAATGTTGTTCCTAATCAATCTGCCCTTATTTACATTTGTAAGCGTTGTCGGCTTTAATATGCATGCCCTGTGCAGGGGACCGCTGCGCCACACCGGGTTTGTTAACTTCAACTAACCCTAAGAATTCTCCAGACCTGAGATGAGGCTGGCTGGAGGAGCCAGGCCTCTGAAGGTGTCTGCTGGGAAGACAGTCCCTTTAATGGCCTCTCTGCAGTGTGGCTCCCCTCCTGAGAGTTACCAAATAAGTGAGAGCTTGGGGCCTTTTCAACCAGCAGGAGTTGCTGACCCTCTTTGGGGCAACCGTTGAGTGTTCTCTTTCCCCTTTCCAAGTAAAGGGGAATGCATCATCTCAGTGCATCACTTGTCATTTAGGGCTTCCCACCATGATCCAAGATGTCATAGGACTCTGTAGTTTTCAAACAGATTTCTTTAAACTTTTAAACTATGAATATGAAAAATATTTCCCCTTCTCTGCTCCAATACTTAAAATATCTGTGGCCACACCACACACATCTCAAAAATGACATCCGATTATCCAAGTGATAACACTGAAATGAAACATCTGCCCTTTGTATTTGGACATTCCAATGATAAGCAATTGTGGGAGCTGGACTTGGTTGAGTAATGAGAAACCATAGTGAGATTTA